TAATAGCAAGGGTCCAACTTGTCTGAAATGCGAGAAGCAATTGAGGTCTGGCGATATGGAGGAAGCTTCAGAAAAACCCAATCTCCAACCTGAAAATGCCGTTCCGAGCGTCGACGGTCGGCATACTGCTTCATGCGATTCACAGCTGTGGCGAGGTGGTCCCGAAGTCGAGATAACAGAGACTCCCGGGCTGTAAATGATCTATCAATGGATTCCATAGTAGACTCATGTGGCAAGTAGGGGAGATGTAATGGTGGGGGCTGACCATACATGATCTCAAATGGAGTGGTGTTAGTTGAAGTGTGATACGATGTATTGTACCACCACTCTGTCATGGGAAGCCAAATAACCCAGTCCCGAGGCTGTTGCCATGAAAAACTTCTAAGATAATGCTCCAAACACCTATTCAACACCTCACTCTGACCATCACTTTGAGGATGGTATGCAGTAGACAGGAGCTGATCAATACCCAAACGTAGCAAAAACTCGCGCCAAAAATTGCTGGTAAACAAAGGATCTCTATCACTAACAATATCAGCAGGGGCGCCATGAAGTTTATAGATGTTATCAATAAAGGTTTGGGCAAGGGACGCAGCTGTGAAAGGGTGGGCCAACGCAGTGAAATGAGCATATTTACTTAGGCGATCAATAATCACCCAAATGGTGTCTTTGCCGTGAGACAGAGGCAATTTTTCAACAAAATCCATAGAAACACTTTGCCAAACTCCTTGTGGAATCGGTAGAGGTTGAAGCAAACCAGGATATGCCATCGTCTCATATTTGCAACGGAGACATGTCTCACACTGATGTATGAATCTCTTCACGTCTGTCAACATTCCCTTCCAATAAAAGAGAGCCTTGATTCTATGGCATGTAGCTCTTGCACCTGAATGGCCCCCTTGTGGGCTGCTATGTAACCAGTGGATAATTAAATCTTTCAACTCACGTTGGTCAGAACCTACGACCAGTCGCTGCTTTCGATATAACTTATTTTGGTGCCAACTATATTTGGGATGAGATGAAGGGTCCACCTGAAGGTCAACAATTACCTGTTGTAAAACAGGATCAGATTGCCATTGTGCTTGGATCTTGTCCCAGAGTTCAGTAGAGACTGACGAGACAGATAAGTGTAGGAGTTCACCATGAGATGCACGGGACAGAGCATCGGCCGCACCATTCTCTTGGCCACTTCTGTACTTAATCACATATTGAAGTCCCATTAGCTTTGTTATCCAAGTATACTGAGATGGAGTGGAGAGGCGTTGCTCCAAGAGAAATTTCAAGCTCCTTTGGTCTGTAAGAATGGTGAATGGTTGAACAGTTAAATACTGGTGCCACTTTGAAACAGCGTGGACTATCGCCAATAACTCTTTATCGTATACTGATAACAGCTGGTTACGAGGGGATAATACTTTGCTAACGAAGGCAATAGGATGCCCATGTTGAATGAGTACAGCGCCAATTCCCATATTAGATGCATCGGTCTCAATCATAAACGGGTGGCTAAGATCTGGTAAAGCTAAAACTGGGGCATTAACCAAAGCTGACTTTAAAGTTTGAAAAGCAGTCTCAGCTCCATCTGACCACATAAAACCATCTTTTTAAGTAACTCATTTAAGGGACGAGCAATCACACCGTACCAACGAATAAAGCGCCGATAGTAACCAGACAGACCAAGGAACCCTCGAAGTTCTTTAGTAGTACGTGGAGTTGGCCAAGCACTGACAGCCTTCAACTTAGAATCATCTGCTGCCACTTTCCCTTCAAAAATCACATGCCCCAAGTATTCAATTCGGGTAGTGGCAAAGGCACATTTTGACTGCTTCACAAAAAACTGGTGCTTGCTTAGAATGTCAAAAACAGAGCGAAGGTGTCGCACATGGGTCTCAATATCTGGACTGTAGACTAGAATATCATCAAAGAACACTAATACATATTTACGCAACAGTCCCTCAAATATTGTATTCATAATAGCCTAAAAAGTAGATGGAGCATTGGTAAGACCAAAAAGCATCACCAAGTATTCATAATGCCCCGCATGTGTTTGAAATGCTGTCTTGTGAATATCCTCATCCTTCATTCGAATCTGATGGTAACCTGAACGTAAATCAAGCTTTGAAAAAACACGAGCTGCAGCCAACTCGTCTAAAAGATCTTCAATAAGCGGAATGGGAAAGCTATCCCTCACTGTAGCCTGATTTAATGCTCGATAGTCCACGCACATACGCCAACTACCATCTTTTTTCTTTACTAAGACAACGGGAGATGCAAATGGTGACGTAGAATGCTGTATGATAACTTGGTCGAGCATATCTTTGACCATCTTTTCAATTACATCCTTCTGGGTAGTTGGATAACGGTAGGGACACAGTTTAATGGGTGTAGTTCCAGCCTTTAAAGGAATGCAATGGTCATGACCATTGCGTTTGGGTGGTAATGATATAGGCTCATGAAACAGAGCATCATAAGAGCTCAATAATTGATTGATGAGCTCAGGCATTGGAACTGATGATGATACAGCAATGGAGTGGCAACTTCCTTGAGCAGCACAAGGAATGACTTGGACCCTAAAAACATCAGGATCTAAGTGTAGGAGTTTTGACATTTTTTTCTCAGTTACCACTCTGTTTTTTGGTGTTTTTGTGGTTGTCAACGTGACCAACCTCCCCTACCACTGAAACGCCATACTAAGTTGCTTGCAATCAAGATGAATAAGGCCCAACTCACGTAACCATTGCATACCAAGCACCATATCAGACCCCGCAAGAGGTAGCAAAATCACATCAACAGCAAATGTAACACCATGGGTGACCCATAGCAATGCACGACAACATGCAGACCCAAGTAAACTTGACCCACCAGCAACCGAAATGTTGAGTGGTGGAATTAACTCTATTTCTGCTCCAACCTCTCGAGCAATATGTGAGTGAAGGAAATTATGGGTACTACCTGTGTCAATCAGTACATGAACGACACGTTTCCCAATACGGCCTACCACCCGCATGGTGCTATAATCTAAGGAACCATACATTACATTCAGAGAAATGACAGGGATAGAGGAAGACCCCTCACCCTCAATGCTAGTAGTACCTTCCGACTCATTATCAAGCGACTGTACCCCAACAGACTGGTCATCAAGAGCATCTTCCACTAATTCCATAAGGAAAATCTGTGAACCACGCTTTTGTACACAATCATGACCAGGTGAATATTTCTCCTTACAGTAATAACAAAGATTCTTAGCACGACATTCTTCAAGTTCCTTTGGCGTTAGCTTTTGTTTAAAAGAGAAATTTGAATGACCCATGTTCTTACTATTATTCAAGTTGCTCGACACATTAGAAGTGGATGAGAAACCCCGTCTTGGATCTGTAGCTGCATACTTATCCTTGGAGGGATATGTTAGTGCCTTAATGGGGGGCGGGGACGGCAGTAAACCCTTCGATGAATTTGGAGGTGGGAGAGACTTACCCGATAATTTAAGTGGGTACTGCTGTAAAGAATCCAAGTGTGACTCTTAAAGACGAGCCAACTTTGAAGCTTCCAGCAAAGATTGTGGACGTAGCAATTTCACCCCCGAAGCTATCTCAGGATGAAGGCCGCTGATGAAACATCCAATCTTACGAACCTCCGGCAAGTCAAGTTTGCACATCAGATTGTCAAACTCTAGTTGATATTCAGACAGCCGTCCATGCTGGCGAAGATGCATCAGCTCTTCCATTGGGTCTTCATTCAGAGGTCCATAGCGAATCTTAATGGCCTCAACAAATGTCAGCCATGGAACTATTCCATTCAGACTTTTCTCAAAGTGCTGGTACCACTTGTAGGCAGCATCATCTAGTGCTATGCTTGCCATGACCGTCCGTCGAGCATCCGGAGTGCCGTCAAGCAAGGAAAAACGCTCACACTTAGCCAACCAAGCCTCCACATCTATGGAAGAAAAACTGGGAAAATCAAGCTTGGTATATCGTGTGGGTACCTGATAGTCCCCATCTCATGATCGTGCCGTCCACGATCTCGAGGAACTTGAATATACGCAAACTGTATGGACAAACGTCGGACCACATCTTGGAGACCCAGCATTTGCGTACGTAACTCCTGCACACCTTCTAATTGCCCTTCAATCCGAGACAAACGGACATCCATTTCAGTGTATAACCTGTCTTCAAGCTCTTTCAGTGCAGTTACCGAGCGAGTACCGTCAGCCATGGGATCGACTGCTCTGATACCAGTGATAAGCAGAAAACAGAAAATAGAGATAGAGCAAGAGGAGATGTAACAGACGAGAGAGAGAAAAGAAGTGAGCAGGGAAAATTCTCATTCACAATTTTCATAACTGATACGTGCAGCGACGTGACCTATAAAACAGAAAAGCTCACGTGCCAATCATTGGGTAAAGGTCCCCACAAACTAAAACGATAGGACAAAAGTAATTGCAAAATATTCAGTATTTATTTAATATCCTATCAACGGTGGCACTGAAAATACTAAATTTTGCGGCGATTTCAAGGTGGGTTTGTAGGGATTTATGCCACAAACTCCGTCAGATTCAGATTATGCTTAATGGGAGCAATGATGCCCCTAGTGGAGCTTCCAAACGAAGACAGAAAGCATGGGTTTGCCTTTGTCAGGGCGAACAATTATTTTTTTGGCCAAAAAAAGAAAAGGAAGTGAAAAATGTTAAATGAGGATAAATTTAGGCCTCATTTGGACATTTAGTTTCCTATTCTTTACATAATATCAGGCTTGAAAATATAGTCATAAAGAATGGAAGAGTAAGATTTTGATAAAATCTGGTGATGTATGGCACAACCACACTAGATAGAATGGAAATATATTTAAAATGTTATCAACTTATCAGAGTAACAATATTTAGTAGTAGGTTCTTCTCTTTCTAACACGAAGCGCAGCCTTTCAATTTTTTGAGCTTATCTTAATTTTAGCTATTAGCATTTTCCATTTCTAAATTACCTTTCAATTTTTATAATTAAGTACAACTCTGAAGTCAACTTTGTTCCAATTTATCTTTGTTATGAAAATCAAATTTTGGTTGCTTTATGGTCGCATTTGAGGTGCAACAAACACAAGTCAAAAAGCTATTTTGCCGAACCCTTTGTACACAGTTACCTCTTGCTGAAGGTATAAAAATAAAGACTACTCTATGACTCTATCTACTGATTCCAATAGTTTCTTAACTGTGACATATGCAACAGAAGCTCATCCCTGCCGAGTCCTGTGACACTGCTGGTCATAATCCACGGAGGATGTTGCCGGTAATTTTGTCTGATCAGCTCTTGAAAAACTCTTATGTTTTCATCAGGCCTTTTTCCCTTTCCCGCCTTCATTTTGTCACATTTTGTGAAGACAAAAGTAATGGGAATCTGAAATCAACAAAAGTGGCAGGTAATGAACCATTTATGTAAGATAACAAAGATATGCTCTGAAACATGACATCATAAAGAACCCTACATTATTGCGTCCAAGCCAATTGGCACAATCAAAGTCAATCTTTTGAGGTGGAACACTTGCATCAATGAGAAGCAAGACGGCAACCAGAGTATCCCTGTTCAAAAAGTAGCCTTTTGTGAATGAGGACCAATCCATTCTGGCAGCTTCTGATGCTTTAGCAAAGCTGCATGAAATTTAACACATTAAATAAGCAGCTGTTTTTCCTTTGATTAGTAATTCATCCGTTGGATAGTATGATTTGACACATCTAACTTTAGGGGTACAATGCAAAAGATGAATATGAAAGAATATACCAGAAAAGAACTTAGGCCAACTCATAGTGCGGGTTTATAATCACACATGCAATGTTGTCAACTAGCATTTATTGACATTTCATCTCAAAGAGGTTCAAGGACACTTGTGCATAGACTGAATAGGCCACAAGCAACAGGCGATGCTTGACCCTATTCAACACAGCGTAATATTATTGTCAACTCAGAATCAATATTTTCCTTCTTTAAAACCACAGTTTTTTCTACAGAAATTATCATTTAGAAATCGTGAATGTTACCCTTCGCATAATACTTTTAACTCCCATCAATTCACAATAAATTAACGATTCATACTGCTACTCCACATGCATAAATGAAGGGGCTGACAACCATGTGAACCTACTAGTCATGCATTCTTTTTCCTTTTGCCATGACCGTGAATTACAAATTCAATGTCGTGTGGGAGATAATAACTCACCCATAACCAGGCAAATCCACGATATACCAACTTCTGTTCACCAAGAAATGATTGATAAGCCGGGTTTTTCCTACAAGCAACACCCAAGTCAGTTCATTTAAGCAACTATGAAAGCTCGAAATACCTAAAGTAGCAAAGAAGGCCAATTAAAATAAAAAATTAAAAATGAATTAAACCTGGCTTCTTAGATGTGAGAGCAACTTCTTTCTTGCGAACCAGAGAATTTATGAGGGAAGACTTTCCAACATTGGAGCGACCTAAAATAGCGAACTCCGGTCGGTCATCCTTTGGGCAATCTTTAGCCCGACTGCTGCTCTTCACAAACTCAACCTCCTTTATCCGAGCATCACCAGCGCAGGGTCCAACAACTACGTTGGACCCAGGAAGAACCATATCCTCGTTGACCTTGTTGAGTTCAACTCCCGGAGGAACAAATAGTAAAGTTTTGATGAACTCGTCTGTACCTGAGGATGAAGGGTTTTGAGTCTTCGAGGAAGCTGAAACATGCTGCTTCGAGTTTCCAAGGGTTGAATGTGAAAGAGGGAATTGGAAAGAGATAGAAGAAGCATTAATTCCCACAAATTTAGAAGAAATCCAAGCGAGATGAGAATTATGGAGGCTCATTACTCGACTCCTAAGCATCATTTTCTAGTTTGAGACCTGGAATTTGGAGATTCAAAAGTTAAGTTATCAAATGGAGCCAGGGGGAGGATGAAATAAACGAGCAGGAGCAGGGTTTATGCAACGACGTCGTTTTAAAAAGCAGAATATAAAACCAAGAAACAAGTAACAAAATTGATTATGAAGTTTTTCATGCAGCCAACTTCAGAGCATTTGTCCTGATTTATTTTTGGGTAGTATCTTTCGTAATGTGTTTAAGAATAGCAGCCTGCGGCCAAAGGGTGAGTCTGTGTATCAGTGTATGCGTATGGGCGACTGCCATGTTAATGTCCAAAAAAACAGCTGAATAATTTGAGAAAAGAATAACATTGAAAGATGTATAATTGCAATTTCAAAACTGGAATTTGAAATACGGCGCCCTTGGTATGATCTGACATAGTACTTAATAGTAGCATGTTCCTTTATATTAACGCTACACAGACGAGATCAATGGACAGGGCTTTTCCAATATAAATGATAGGAGTAATCGTATTTCAGTTAGTTAGATTGCCAGTCGAACCAATGATATGATAATTAGATAAAAAATATATTATATGCATATATAATAATATAGGTAAGAAATAAAACTTTTTTTGAGAAAAAAAATATTAATTTATCAAAAAAATCATGATAAAAATATCCTGATAGAAATGAAAAGTAAAGATAAGGTCTACCTCAAAAGATGTGGGCTATTCATCAACATAGGAGACTCCATCTCCATGTATGTAAAAGAGTCTATATATAATTCATCAAACAAATATCCTGAAGTTTCATAAATCTATCAGTGGAACACCAAACCAGCAAATTCCTAAGGAAAGCAGCACCGCTTGAACTGAAGCCATAATATTTTCAAGGCAAAATAGCATATAAGGATTAGTGTGTAAAATTTATATCTTAAAAGGATCAAATGATTTGATAATAGCACTGTAGTCCTCTGATCCTCCTGACATATTGATTCCATAGATAAAAAAATTGAAATGCCCCTCAATTAAAAAAAAAAACAAAGAAAGAAACCCCATTGTCATCGTCGCTGTCAGACCACTATTGCCAACGGCTGATCGCCAGAGCTTCGGCGTTTGTGACATTTTATTTGAGAAATGAGGTTTTTAGGTTGCCAAGGGTGGGTTTGATCCCATAACCCTTGACCACCTAAAAAGCTTGGTAGCAACCCTTTAATAATATATGACAAAAAAATATAAGTAGTGAATCAAGCACAAAATCACTTCCATGTAATAGCCTAATAGTGTTTTGTTAATTTTTAAATCGAACTTGTTATTTTACAAATGTCACTTGTTAATCTAACATGGATAATTACAAATTGGAGGCTTCAAAACTTCACTCATTTTACTTGTTAAACATCCTAATGTATTGTTGTCAATCACGAATAGGTTGTTGTCAAAACCAAACGGGTAATTGTCAGTGAATGACTAATACGTACAACTAAATCCTTTCTATCAATTTCTCTAACTTATTAAAGCCATAATAAATTCTTGGTAATTTCAAATGATTGTTGTTATTTTATAAATGTCACTTGTTAATTTGGCATGGACAATTACAAATTAAAGGTTTTAAAACTTCAATCATTTTACTTATTTAACGTTCAGTCCCAATGTATTGTTGTCAATCACGAATAAGTTGTTGTCAAAACCAAACAGGTACTTGTCAGTGAGTGACTAACACGTACTGACCCTTTCAATCAATTTTTCTAACAAATATCCGTTTGGTTTTAACAACAACCTACTTGTGATTAATAACAACAAATTGGACATTTAACAAGTAAAATGAGTGAAGTTTTAAAGCTTCCAATTTGTAATTATCCATGTCAAATTAACAAGTAACATTTGTAAAATAACAATTCATTTAAAATTAGCAAGAATTTATGGTTTTAACAAGTTAAAAAAATGATAGAAGGGATTTAGTTATACGTGTTAATCATTCACTACCAAATACCCATTTGATTTTAATAATAACCTATTCGTGATTAACAACAATACATTACGACATTTAATAAGTAAAATGAGTGAAATTTTGAAACTTTCAATTTGTAATTGTCAATGTCAAATTAACAAATAACATTTGTAAAATAATAACAATTCATTTGAAATTATCAAGAATTTATTATGGTTTTAACAAGCTTGAGAAATTGAAAAGAAGGGTTTAGTTGTACGTGTCAATCATTCACTGATAAGCATCCATTTGGTTTTGACAATAATTTATTCGTGATTGACAACAATATATAAGACGTTTAACAAGTAAAATGAGTGAAATTTTGAAACCCCAAATTATAATTGTCCATGTTAGACTAACAAGTAATAGCTATAAAATAACAAGTTCTGTTCAAAAATTAACAATACACCATTAGGTTATTACATGGAAGTCATTTTGTACTTACTTTACTACTCTTTTTTTTTTGCCATATACTATTAAAGAACTTGGTGGCCTAGTGGCCAAGAAGGTCATAAAATCAAATCCACCCTTGACCACCTAAAAACTTCATTTGTCAAATAAAATGTCACCAGAGCTCCAACGACCCCACTGGCAGTAGGGCCTCTGGCGATCTCACCGCCAATGGTGGGGGGTTTTTTTTTTAAACTATAAGGGACATTTCAGTCTTTTCGCTTATGGAATCAATATGTCAGAAGGACTAGAGGACTGCAATACTATTATCAAATCATTTGGTCTTTATATCATATAAATATCACACAATGGCCCTTGGATGTTATTTTTTAACCCTATATTCATCAAGTTCTGCTGCAAAGACAAGCTGAACAGTGACTCTCTAGTCTCTACCCAGGATTACAATAACTTCAATATATAATCTTGCAGATTTGGAAAAGGAAAAAGAATATAATCTCTGGATAAATAATGACAATGATGTGAATTTGAAGTGACTTGAAATATTTAAGTAACCTGTTTAATTCCATTAGATTTAAAGATTCGCAAAGTTTAATAATGAGAAGGAAGAGATGAATTTTTCTTATTAGTAACAAAAATTAATCAATATAAAAAGGAAGAGCTGAGAGGCGTGAGAGCAGATAATTAATCGATATATAGAACAGAAAAATTATTTAATATATAGAACAGAAAAAATAATCAATATATATATAGAACAGAAAAATTAAACTCAATATTACAGCACCAAACTAACTAATAAGTCCTCCCAATGCAAGCCTTAGACACCAAAGAAGATTATTGAGTCTTTTTTTTTTTTAATTTAAAACTGACAAGGGAGAAAACTTACTGTAAGTCTGCAAGGGAGGAAGACAACAAGCTCAATGAAATCGTGACTTGAAGTCTAAGCAACCGAGAAAGTGAGGAACCCAGATGCTAACGATGCAAACGGAGGTGAGCACAGTAGCAAACTCTAGACTAGAGTCGACGAAGAGCAGAGAAGAACAGAGGCCGAGACTAATGTCTTAAGAAGAACAAAGCAGTCGATGGTGATGGCTTGGATTCTGTAGCTTGAACCTCGAAGCCGAAGTAGATGCGGAGATGGTGATTGGGGAATGGGGAGGCAAACGACAGAAAGGAGGACGGAGTTACAAACTCGCGTCCAAGATCTCGAATCGTGAAGTCTGAAGAAGTGAGTGAGTGAAAGAAGAGACTGGAAATCTGGAATCGCAGGTGGCGGAAAGAGGTCTGATAAGAGGAAGGATTTTTTTGGGGTTAGAACTTATGATCCATGGTTATTGGTAGTCTCGTATATACATTATAAAATACAATAAATTTAGAGAAGGAAAAAAAAAATTCCCATGCAATCAAAAAAGTTGATCTCTGCATGAAGCGTCAGTATTGATCAAACCTCCAAAATGCAATTTATTTCTATTCAGATTTCTAATCCTCTACTATGAAGTTCTTGATGGGAATATCATCCATCATATCCAATTTTTTTTAACCGAGTTGAAATTATAAGAAATTACTTATTATTTGTTTGGAATTTCGATATATATCCATAAATGTATAAGTCCGTTCTTCTTTGCGTAACTAATTCCATTATGTTGATTTTACAGCTCTACAGTACCCATTCCCATCCATAGCAATTAGCCAAATATGATATCTACAGCAAGTGGCAAGACCAAACTTCGAATTCAAGCCAAGAAAGCTAAGCCTTAAAAAGTTAAAATCGTCAAGCTCATTAAGAAGACTTGCTGGTAAAATACATAGTTTTGTCAGATTTCAAGCAGTGAACCCAAGCACAACTCACAGTAAGCTTCGCAGGCAATACACAACATATACAGAGGAAGACGAAGAAGGACTCACCGTCGTCACCCCTCACAGGGTCAAGGATTCACAACGAAGTTGGCAAATTGCAGTTGCAGATGGAACTTCGATTTGACAGAGCCACGAGGACAAAGGGATTCAAGGGAACAAATCACAAAATCACATGGAAGAACTTGTCGAGTGTGCGAGTATGATTGTGGAACTAGATAAGGCCTCTGAAGGAAGATGAACATGGACTCGCTGGCGCTGCTGAGGTCGCCGAGTTCAGGGCAGAGAAGTGAATAGAACGGAGCGTGGAGGCCGAGGAAGCGGATTGAAAGGCGTCTGAGCAGAAAGGAAAGCATCGAATGGTTTTTAAACGGGTCCGTCTTCGGTGCTCAGCAACGTGGTGCTCATCCATAAAAATGAATCTGGGCCGTTTAAATTAAATTTCGATGGTCCAGATTTTTTAATTTTAATTTTAATTTTAATTTATATTTATTAAAATAAAAATTTATAAATTTTTTATAAATAGATACATCATTGATATTAATAATATTAATTTAATTTAAATGGTCTAATTTAATATTATAATTTTTTAAATTGATTATTTACATGTATTTTGGATAGTCCATATTCGATATTAAATATTTATTTATAAGGTTCAAATTTAAAGTTTTTATTTTTTATTTTGAAGAATATAATATTAAAAAATAAAATGTATAATATTTTAATTATAAATTTTAAAAAATATTTTTAAAAAAATTACAAGTTAAAAATTTTAAATCTAAACTGTATAGAATATATATCAATAGTCAATATATAAAAATATAAAATTTTTAATATTAAATTAGACACTTTAAATTAAATTAAACTAGATTAGTCAAAAAAATATTTATTAAAAATTTTTATAATTTTTATAAATTTTTATTTTTAAAAATATAAAATAAAAATATTAAATTATTTCTTTAAATCTGGACTATCCAGATTAACAAGATGGTTCCTTTTTAAACACAACATGGATTTTCTTGAAATTTTTATTTTATCTTCAAAGCAAGCACATGCTTTGAACATAAAGATTTTATATATAATATCAAAAAAAATAATATATATTATATACACATTTTTTAATTTAAGGGATATTTGTTTTTTTTTTTTGACAATTTAAAAACTCTGCATAAAAAAACTGTGTATATAATATATAAAAGACATACTTGTATATCTTACTTTCATATCCAATTCCATTATCACATTTATTTTCACATTTACTTCCATCAAAAATACTTTCCTACGTCAAACTGGGCATAACTTTTTTGCAAAGGCATTGATCGTTCACTTGAATCATTTTTTTCCAAAATCTGCACAAATGAATCAAGCAGAATGCACTGCCTAAAGTGACCCCCATTTATGAACGAAAGGCATGTCTGTCTTCTATGAATTATACTGCATACAGGCAAGAGCATGTCTGTCAATATATATGAAGTAGAGACCTATGAATATGATATACATCCTCATAGAGGCGCTCAAACTCAAGAATACGAATGTGCAGGAAATATAGGTGAACGCTCCAACTATAGCCAAAAGGCAGTCAAGACATTCAGCAACGAAGCAAACAATTTCTAGGATAAAGCTGGCATCACATATATGATTAACGAAATTAATTGGTGGACTCTCTAAGCTTTTTTTTTTTTTTTTTTTTTGCCTTGCCTCTTCGCTCAACTAAATGGTGGCAGTTAGGAAAATTAAGAAGAGAGGAATATTAACAACAAAGATAATAATGTAAATCGTTCATTAATCAACTCAACAAATAATAATGAAGATGATAAACCCTTGTTGAGTGATTTACAAAGAAACTACATAACCCTCTCTTGAAAGGGGTTAAACCAATCCCAAACATTGAGTTGAAACAATGAAGTGAGGATCATGTTAACCTCTCCCTTGAGGTAGGATGCAACCTTCCTAAACTCTAATAGAATATAATGCTCTTTACATAGACTTTAGGGTCATCAATAATTGAGTGAGTAATGCTTACTAATCCAAGAGTGGCTAATACTGGGTTAACCTGATAAAGAGACCAGAATTATTTTGACAAATAACCGTAAATTAATCAAGAGCATCCTTTTTTGGTCGGCCTGACATCGTCATGGGCAAGCTATCAAAGATGGGTTTGGAAATAGCTGCAGTTGATAAGGCTTGTAGGTCTGGCTTCAAACTCCACATCGAGGTTGGCCAGATTGATGAGGAGAAGCTGTTATCCTGATCATTTAAACATGATGTGCTTGATGATTTCCTCACACCAGAGAGCACGTCTCCCAAATAAGCATCCTTCAAACCTGCTGGCACAGAAGTCAAGCCGCTTCCGTCAGAATCATTTGTCAGGGCAGGCCGGCTTGCTGCTTTCTGCCTCTGAGCCAAACACTTTCCTGTTCTTGATGAAAATCCACCAATGCTAATGTTTCTGTCCTCCCTCAAAAGCAACTCTTGTGTATGGGTAAAATCACCAACTGATTTTTGATGCCTCAAGAATAACTTATCACCATTCCAATTACTGAAGCCACCTTTCCCCGCTTCTGTAGCAGGTACATTATCAGACTGTTCGGCAATCTCGTTTAAAATCACATCAACCAAACTTTTGGATTTCCGGTGACGACCAAGAGATCGATTGGCCACGGCTGAGTTCCTGGAAAATGAACCATTTTCTGAAGAACCAAAACCTCCTTTTCTATACTCTGCCATCTCTAAACCTTCACACATGCTTTTCTTGTCTGTAGGTTTAAGTCCACAGAAACCTTGTAAAGAGCACATAGCTAGCGAGACCTGCTGCTGAGGAGAGGTTACTTTCAGGGACTTGAATGATTCAAACAGTTCACAATGTGCATGATTAGATGGACCGGATCTGAAGTGACGGCATTTAGGATCATCAGTGAATCACAAGCTGTTAGAAAAGATAGTACTAAACCATATGACATTATAAAAATTACAATTGAGCAGTCAATCAAAATAGAATTTTGATTATAATTTCACCACCACAAGTTAAATATTATCTAAGAAATTAAAGAATTTGTGAGCACATAATTGGGGTAATTAAGAGCAAGGCTTCAGTTAGAAGCTATCAATAAATGCCGTTTGAATCTGGGATCATAGTAATTTTGATAGGATTGTGAATTTCTATTTTAGTTGCATTGCATCAGTAACTCCAACTGTTGATAAATTAACTTAATATTGATTTTGAGAAATTGAAATTTTTCTTTTAATTTTCTGTTCTATCCCACATCTATTATTACATGGCCCAGACCGTATGATATAACTGCAGCATCTCTTCGGCATAAAATTCATGTGAAAGCATTGCCTTTGCCATGTAAGGCTCTTCAAAAGCAGCATCTAGAAAAACAGGAATCTAGTGGAGATCATTGAGCAGGCAATACCCAGTACTTCACCCCGTCTCCACAATGCAACTCCCCAAGTTCCACAACATTTACCATTGCTGAATTGTCCGCCATACACAATCAGCACCCATTTCATTCTGAAGCATCCTCATGACACTTCCTGCTCCTACTTCCAATGTTATGCTTGCTAACAAATGGCGCACCCACGATTGTATTGCATTATAAACATTAGACTCCACCAGAAACATAGAGCAGATTGTTTCATCATAGTTTTTCGAAGTCAAGAACATCAATTCCGATATTCAGAACAGCAATACATGAGTTGACAATCTTATTGTTTGATATGGAGGAGGTGAAATTCTGATTTGTCATTCCTTCAAATCTTATGAGAATTTTGTTGCCACCAAAGGTGTAGATAGCTACAAGAAGCCTAAGAGTGAATGGTAGTGAAGGTTGGATCAAGGAAAATGCTCTCTGCTGCTCAAAAACACTTAAATGGGTTGCTTCCCTTTTTATCTCTAGCACATGCTGCAAATGTGGAAACGTACAACTTATAGCATCATTGTAGCTACACTATATAAACTTGCAAAATATACTTGGTGACATAGCATAGCCCATATAACATCAGTAATAAATATGACCAGTGCTGCTCATGCAAGCCCCTGGAAGTTCTTCTCCTGGGCATATCATTTGTTTGTTCTCCGCTCACTTCTTGGGCAAGCACTGGTTTCCCATTATGATTTTGGAACAATCGATTTGGTAACTTACCACTTTCAGAACTTTTCCTCCTTTGGCAATGTGCCATTTAAGCAGGCTTGGGATGGAGAAAAAACACAATGATTTGATATTTAAAATTTTTTCCTCTAACCTTGTAGCGTTTAGATTAATGAATTTGGATTTAAATTTTTAAATTTCACATTTAAAATTTATATATTTAAAATCCTTTATCTTGATAGTTTAAAAATTTTTAAATGAAGAATAAAGATAAACTAAAATTTAAAACGAAAATAAAAAATTAAAAATAACAAGTTTATTTTTATTTTTAATCAATAAAAGATAAGAAAAGACATGAAAGTTATAAAAATATCAACAATAAAAATGTGAAAAGAATAAAATATTTAAAATGATTAAAATTTTAAAAAATTAGGATATAGAGGGAATTTAAAATTATAAAAGAAGTATAATTTGAAATGGATTTAGATTTGAACCTCATTTGAATACACAAATGAATTTAAATTTAGTTCAAATCAAAATCTCCATCAATCCAAACAAATTATTAAATTATTTTTTTATTTTGGCTTTTATTTGGGGCATCGGATTGCACATATTTAATTTAGAGCGATGTCCTAATGACTTACAAAAGGATTAGCTCTTTTGACTTCGAGCTAATGTCTTCATTTATTTATTGTTTTTTTTTTTTTACAGGAGAATTCCTTATACTCCAAAGCTTTACTGCTTTTCTTTCTCTTAGATTTTTTGCTATCCACAAAAAAGAAGTACTACTCAGGGGGGGGGAAAACACCAAAAAAAAAAAAAATAGAGCAACTGAATTCTATATCCACGCAAGAAGTTTGCTGATTGATTACAATATTGTACCCCTTTTAGTTCTAAATGTAGAAGCTAGATAACTAATTTGCATAGATTAATGCGACTAATTATAAGTTAGTTGCTTGTGAAAAATACATCTTAGTTTTCCTAAAATACCCCTCTTTTAACCATTTATATCAACGCACACTACGCATTAATTTATGCAATAGGGATAATTGGAAAAAAATAGTAATTGTGGGAAACAAAGAAAAATGAGATCTTACATTTAGAACAAGAACAAATTCTTTAACTAGCTCTTACATTTAAGATGGGTTGAGAATATAACATATTAGCTGGAAAATAAAAAGGGGCGTTGGTCACTTGCGTCTAATTTTTTTATTCCACCACAATAAAAAAAATAAAATAAATTATCATCTCTCGTTCCTTAGTGCTGTTGACGACACCTGATTGGTTGCTTGAGTCGTGCCCGAAAAGACACTGTCCTTAAGAACTATTCCGGCACACCGTCAGACGGCCGGCAGTTCCCCAGGATTAAACAAGCACCTCCTCGGTGGAACGAGGGAACAGAACAACGGAGACCAAACGTAATCACAGATTCACAGAGGGAGGAAGAGAGAACCGCGAGGACTCAAGAGACTTTCTGTATTTTGCTCTGGCTGAACCCATGGCTATATATAGCCCGAAGGTGGACATGAACGTTGGGGGGTTACCACCGGTTTAAAAGCTCGGTTACAGTCTCATAAAAATTATTTAAAAGCTTGTCTGGAAACGTTGGAGTTACACAAAACGCATTCAACCTCCTGTCTGGAAACGTTGGGAACGTTGGGAAGACAAACGTTTAATTTGTTTAAAAAAAAACGTTCTTGGTTTGACTTCAAACTCCAAACAGCCGAAATTTGAGTTTCTCCGGCAAGCCAAAATAATTATTTATTTGTAAAAATAATTCAATAAAAAAAACCCACTACCTCTTGAACTCACGCGCAAGGGGAGGCAAATCAATTGATTTCAACTACAATTGCCTGAGTTGGCCTGTTTTATGTGCTTGAAGCCACTTCTCTTCCAAACCCATTTTATTAGCCTACTTCATTCCTTGGTATATATACACTAGGAGAGTCTTTCTTTAATCAATGTGGGACTTTAACACACACACTTTTGACACACATACAACAAGTACTACCATGTATAATTTCACTTCTTGTTTGAAAATCGTACCTTAACATCTGACATTCAAATTTTAAAACTTTGCACCAATATGGTCCGAACTCAAAAAGTCAAGCTCCCTAAGCCTAAGTCCAATTTAGGAAGATAAATAAATCTTGCCCCTGTCCAACAGAAGATACTCTTTCCAAGTCCCTCGATATATAGCAGGAAAAAAAGATGAGGCTTCTCTTGTTAATTTCAGTAATGTTTGTCAATTAAATGAAAAGTGCATACACTGTATTATCGACACCATTTGAAAAAGAAGGAAATGGAGGATGCCTTCCAGGAAGTGGAATATGGAGAAACTTGAGAGCAAACATCTGCTGATCAGTAACAAGGCCATTCATCTCTTTGACGTCAGCAACCTAAAATTTTCCACAGCAAAAGAGTTGAAGAAGATATAAACAAGCGAAGTGAAAGATTTAGGACGGTTTTTCTCTTCCAACGATGGTGAAGAGGATATGATGCACGGACACTTTGTAAAAGAAGCCATCTATTGGATATGCGTGCATGTGTGTCCATACGCGCGTGTGTGTGTGTGTGTGAAGACAGTATGACTTTATCACACGATTCCAACTTCAAGAATAAGGGCAGTTAAGAATTCAGGACCGTTTTCCTCCTCCTAACATGGCAAACCAAAGATATTCTGTGGAGCCATGAGTCGAAAATTCAAATTAGACATGAAACGACAATGCGCTACCCTTATGCATGGGCATTTTAAATTTTGTTATATATAGGACTGTCTCCTTTACATGTCCATATCCATGCTTCATAAAGAGGGGGAAAGCAAAATTTATTTTATAATACAGAATCCACAACTACTTTGGCAGACTCTAAGAAAGAATGCACTGATTTTGCAAACACTTTTCCAAATTCAAAAGCGTGGAGAACATTTCACGCATGAGGTTCAATGGCTTTCCCCCATGCATTTGCTTTAATTTTCCCTCCGAATTGCCCATTGGCTGTTAGTGAATTTGTCCATGTAATGAAGATTGTTGCCGAAGCGAAAACTTAGCTTGTAACTTGTAACCACAGGAAATGCATGTTGTTGATTCACACAATCAGCTCCAAAAATCAATCCACAGCAGACAAATGAGGAAGAAAGGAAGGGGAAATATTACAACACATTCAGGAAACATATAACATTAATCGATCAAAAGCGCACCTCAACGCCGTACTTGATGGCAATGCCAGCAAGAGTGTCCAAATTGGAAACAGGATGCTGGATGTAGCCTTCCATGTGAGAAGGCGAAGAAACTGGCGATGATGACATGTGCAGAATCGACGCGGAAGAGGACATCGCTGGGCTACACTCACTCTTGGGTCTGTCTAGATGGACAGTGCCATAAAAGACCGAAACTGATCGAAATTGTCATTAATTATGCAATTTCTACCTCTCCATTCCAATCAGCCAAATCCATTTGAAATCATCTTCTTCAATATGTAATCAATAGGGTATCATCCGTAAAATGGTGTCAAAATGGGAAGCAAAAGCTGGAGGCTGAAAGGAGTATGTAGAATTAAATTAATTCTCACGAAACAAAGAATTTGGTGGATTGTATTGTTTGAAAATGGATAGTGGAATTCAAAATCTAATATGGTTATTCTGGAATTATGGTTTTCCCCAGACATCTCTCTTCCTCAACTCCGATCACCGTGTCTTCCATTTTCTCCGGATAAACGATTGGATAATGGAGAGTGGAGACGCTCTTTTCCTTTATTAATTCCACCCAAACAATGAAACGAGATAAAAGGCTAATGGCAATATCATACAAATATATATGTCGATTTGCATGCATGAGTTTGCCAGTCGTCTAGGGCGCACGTGATACAATTATTAACAATCCCTGGCTGCTATATTTTGTTTCTTTTTTCCATATCTCTACGTCATTTTTTTAAAAAAATGAGTCCAGTAAGAGAATATGGAAGAGATGAAAAGAAATAACAACGACAAAAGAAATTGAGCCATATTATATACCGTTAGACGTTAAAATAATGTATGCATGATGATGTTTAATTTAATCAGATTTCCTAAAATACGGCCAGCCCAGACCATATTTGGATGATTTGATCATGCAAGGGAATTCCCCCCGCCGGGAGACGCAGTGTCTCATTTTATCGTTTTCCCCCTTTCTTTTTTTGATGTATTGCAAAGACTACATTTTATGTATATCTAGCAATATCAATTGCATATATTTATGATTGTCAATATGTGTGTATTTACATAAAAAAGAAGTTGATAAGTATATATACGCACAATAGTAGCATATCACTTAATTTGACATTTCTCAATTCTCAGCGGCGCATGATGACAATTTGACATGTGCATGAGTATGTTTGGCGTGGCGGGAATTGTGGATCTTCTATTTTGAGAGAATTTTAAATAAAGATCAAGATATGACTTAATTATTATTAGTAGGTCTCAAAAAACTCTAAAATTTTAGTTCAATCTAAGCGGATAAAGTGAAAATAATTTTAACTGTTAAAATATCAAAATACCTTTAACTTATTATGCAAAATTATTAGTTATTAATTTTCTTAATTCACTTATTAATTTACTATTATGAGTTATAAATTACATGAGTAGATATATCAATAATTGTATAAAACTTGACATCAGTTGTTCAATCATAAACAGCAACATCAATTGTTAAATTACTAACTTTATCCATTAATTTACTAATATCAGTTATAAATCACTAATAAGTCATGTAATTTACTAACATTAATTGTAAATTATTAACAAGTCTTGTAATTTATAATTGATACTAATAAATTAATAAGTAAAGTTAGCAAATTCACAATTAATGTTGCTACTTGTCTAAGACACAAATGTAATTTACAAGTGAATTAAAAAAGAATAATTTGATTTTTTTTACAATTGAAATTATTTTCACTTTTGCTCACATGGACTGAACTAAAATTTTAAAATTTTTTGGGACCCACTTTTAATTAAATCACATTCTCAATCCTTATTTAAAATTTTTCCTTTTATTTTTGGCTCCTCCATGTCCACTAGACCACTTATGCGAAGCTAATTTGATGATAGTTCCTACAAATAAATGTCATATATAGATTTGAACCAACAGAATGAGTCTAGCAAAAAATATTATCTATTTCCTTATAATATAATGGATAAAGTTTAAATTTTTATTAGGAGATATATTCACATTTAGTACTTGACCCTGTTTGGAACAAAATTGTCTATAGCTAATAAAAAATAATTGCAAACAATAAAAAAATTAAAAATGTTATAGACTTAAATTGTTATTTTTAAAAAAACTTAAATTATTAACTTCTACTTACATATCACTGTATCTTTTCATGCCGCTAGACTACTTGAGCAGCTAACCCTAGGCGGCAAGTTTCTAAATTTTTTACTTGCGCAACAAATAAATTAAACCATATTCAAAGTGTAGGATAGAATAATACTTGTTCTGTATTCAAACCTCATGTTTTGAATCAAATGTTAATTTTCTTATAGGGTTGTGATTTTTAAAAGTAATCAATCCATTTATATTTTTTCAAATATGTGTTATTTCATGTTACCATCAACTAATTTATGTTGATTTTAACCATAAAATTTCAACTTAAAATTTCATTTAAGCTGATTTTTCGGGATGAATTTAAGTTCATTTATATTTTAGTTTACATCCTGAATAACCAATTTTTAAAAATCAAACCCGCACCGCAAAAAATATATCAAGTGAAATGCTGCCGCCTGCAGGCGTACCTACCTTATCGATATTTTTTTAATTGAAAGTTATCTACCCGCATTCATGCACGGGAAGTTTAGGTATATATATGATTAGAGACTACATTTAGTACCCTTTTAAACCAAAAAAAGACTTAAAATTATCGTGTGTGTTTTAAAAAATATATAATCATGTGATATCAAAATATAATAAATAATTAAAGAGTGAAATATCTCCTGTTTTATCAATTTCTCAATTTGCCCACAGTGAAATATGATTATATCTCTGATAAAAAAAGAAATATATTTACATCAAAGAGTTCGGACTCTCCATCTGTACTCAAAATCATATAATTTTAACGTATATAATTTACTTTTTAAATTAATACTCCCTTCGTTCAAAAATATAAAGCATTTTTTGAGGAGTTGACTATTAAAAAATGTAAGGTATTTTTAATCTTTCTATTTTATTAAAGTGTGAAATTTAATTAAAAATACTTTATTTTTTTAAATAAGAGTATTCATTGCCTTTTTTTGCGGGAGCACAAAAACGCCCTACACATATAGATAATGAATTTATATTTATTATAGGATGTTTAATGCAGTGGATAAATATGAAAAGATAGTATTGATCATTATGGTGCGTCTATTAAAAAATAGATGACTGGAAAATTACCGCTTTTATTAAAGTGTGAAATGTTTCTTCCTTTAATTAAAAATACTTTATTTTTTCGACAGGTAGACCTAGTGGGAGGATACTATGATGCAGGCGACAATGTGAAATTTGGGCTGCCAATGGCATTCAGTGCGACAATGCTGGCCTGGGCAGCCATAGAGTTCAGGAAAGAGATCGCTGACTTGAATCAATTGGGTCCCACTCTTTTGGCCATTAGGTGGGCCACCGACTACTTTGTCAAAGCTCATCCTCATCCCAATGCTTTTTGGGGACAGGTATGGATGCAATGCACGGAACTTGTTTTGAAATGAAACTCAAACAAGAATTGAGGATGGGACGCTAACAACAATAACAGGTTGGGGATGGCAATTCGGATCATTACTGCTGGGAACGTCCAGAAGACATGAGCACATCAAGGACGGCCTACAAGATTGACGAACAACATCCAGGTTCTGATCTTGCTGCTGACACTGCTGCTGCCTTGGCTGCTTCTGCTATTGCTTTCGGTCCTTACAACTCTTCCTATTCTTCTCTCCTCCTCCTTCATGCAAAACAGGTTCCTCCTCTATACTTGCTTCCCAATCTCATTCTATTAAGTTAATTTGGCATCAGAATCTAATTCAATCTTTGTATCTGTCGTCGTTGTCTCAGCTGTTCGCATTCGCGGACACTTTCAGAGGTTCATACGATGACTCCATTACAGTTGCTCAACAGTTTTATGCCTCTTCCGGTTATTCAGTGAGTTCATTACCTCTTGACTTGTACGCTAGATGATAACGCATCAGCTGTTGTTGTAGGAGAGAATACAAAATACTGGGAACTGTTTAGGATGTCGTGACTAAATTCACGCGTGTGTAATGAAGGATGAATTGCTTTGGGCTGCTGCGTGGCTCCACAGAGCAACAGGGGATGAATACTATCTCAACTATGTAATGGACAATGCTCAATCTATGGGAGGAACCGGATGGGCTGTCACTGAATTCTCTTGGGACAACAAATATGCTGGTCTCCAGATCCTCCTCTCCCATGTAATTTAACTATATATACTAATATCCAAAACCTTGCATGAGTTGGACTAATAATAATAATAATAAAAAGATATGTGAATCCAAAATGCTCTTTGGGTAATTATATGTCTATACAAGAATTTGCAGGTTGTTCTGGAAGGACATGCTGGTTCTCATGCCCCCATTCTAAAGCAATACCAGGCCAAGGCAGATTACTTTGCCTGTGCTTGCCTGCAAAAGAATGATGGTTATAATGTCCGAAGAACTCCAGGTACTTCGTAATTACCCAAAATCACTTGTTCAATTCACTTCGTTTAATGAATTTGTCGCTGAAATGAAAATACTTGCACGTTTGGCATTCTTTAGGCGGATTGATATACGTTCGGGATTGGAACAATATGCAGTACGTATCATCTGCTTCATTTCTGCTGGCTGTTTACTCCACTTACCTCTCTTCCGCAAAAGCCACCCTTCGCTGTCCCCAAGCCCAGGTTCAGCCTTCAGACCTCATCAGTTTTGTCAAGTCTCAAGCTGACTATATGCTAGGTAAAAACCCCAAGAGCATGAGCTATGTGATTGGATATGGAGCAAAATACCCGGTTCATGTGCACCACAGAGGATCCTCCATTCCTTCCATCTTTGTCCTTCATTCAGCGGTTGGGTGCGTGCAAGGTTTCGACACTTGGTATCACCGGAGCGAAGCAAATCCCAATGTCTTGCATGGCGGCCTTGTGGGAGGACCTGATCAAAATGATGAGTTTTTAGACGATAGATCCAATTATGAACAAACCGAGCCCACTCTTTCTGCCTCTGCTCCACTTGTAGGCATCCTTGCTAAGCTTAACAGTTTGTATGCTAATGCTAATGCAGGTTAGGACATCAATTCCTCCTTTAAAACAAAATCTTTTCACCACGCAATAAATTTTTCATAACAAAATCCTTCATTATACTCATCACTTTTAACTTCTTGCGTTTGTGGCAGGTTCCCACCGTGATGGGTCACCACTGCACCAGAAAATAAAACCACCAAGTGAGTGTAAAAGCAAATAGGATATTAACAAACACAAAACTGGAATTAGTCTTGCCTTAAATATAATAGAAGCTGCTGTCCATTTAACCCTTGAAATAATTCTCTATCCGTTGGCTTCACAGGCACAAACCCACGAAAACCAGCAACACCTGCAGCATCTTCAGGTGATTAATGCAGACATCTTTTTGATTTGGGCATTATAGCTTTCCAATTTCATTTGTTTAATACTTGAGTCAACTTATATAAACTAACTATTTTCAGACAAGAAAATATGCTTAGACTCCTTTATACTAGTTTGTAGTTGTTATCCAGAAAAAGAAGCAATTTATTATTTTTGGAATAAATGTATGAATTTTTTTTTTTTTTGTGAGAATGTATGAATATTAAAAATAAAAAATATATATAATATTACTGATGCTGGATTAATTAGATTTGTATAAATTTACGCTTAACAACATATTACATACAAAAATTAACCGATGCAGGTGGGGCGATTGAACTGATTCACTCAATTACCAACTCATGGAATGAGGGAGCAACAACATATTACCGTCACCAAGTAATAATTAAGAACGCTTCCAAGAAGCCAATCTCTGATGTAAAGTTTGAGATTGAAAATCTGTCAGGCGCTCTGTGGGGTCTTTCTCCGACACAAGACAAGAATGTGTATGAACTTCCCCGGTGGCTTCAAGTCTTGAATCCTGGCTCTCAATGTACTGTTGTTTATGTCCAAGGTGGACCCCAGGCTAAATTCTCTGTCTTAAGCTTCCACTGATCATACTGTGAGAACCGTGGGAGTCAAAGGATATTTGATATTCCAAGTTTGGTAAATGAGATCTTGAGTTCTTAGAGTCTGAGTTTTCTATTGTTGCCATTTGGGAGAATCAGGAGAAAAAACTCGAATTATACAAAGAAAGTAGAATAACCCATCTTTTTCCATCTGTTCGTAGCATGCTCCAGGCTGAATTAGATTTGCTTGAAACATCGCTGATAGAATGATGTGAGTGGGAAAATGTGGGTCTCTGAGATGTTTTGCTGATTTTTGTAACATTGCCCACCCACCACGAAACCAACGGATGCTAAAAAGCGAAAAAATTATATTCAACATATAGATTCAGGCATTGTTGGAAAATAACTGCGCATGCCGATTGTGAGAACCAACGGATGTTTGAACGAAATAGTTCGCTGATTGGCTTATTTGGTTTCACGTTTGAACATGCACTTCATCCCTTTGACCTGTGATAGTGAGTTTTGAAGACTTTGTTCTGTTACCTCTGGAGAATAAATTTAACAGCTCTATTAGCCTGCTCGTTTCCACTTTCCACTTTCCACCGTCCTTCCTTATGCAATATTGAATTTGGCATGGTAAGTTTTGAAGGGGCTCTTTGGAAAAGCGGTAATATCTTATTTTTATAAAGTATAATATCCTTTCTTGTAAAGTTCATTTTACTATTATTCAAGGAATCAACTTATCCAATAACTTATATTTAAAAATTTTAAATTTGTACCATTCAAATTAGATTTGAAAGATTAAGAGGATTGTAAATTAAAGTCGTACCTTAATTAATGAAACCTTTTAAGGAGATATGGTACATAAATAAAATGGATTTCACCTTATAAAAAAAATAGATTTCACCAATTAGAATTAAGACAAGAGAAATAATTTAGAAAGAATTATAACCAGGTCCCATAGAAGAAAATTAATTATTACAAGTTTCATTGATAACTAAACTAAACTACATTAATAAGACAATTGAACTAAATTCAATAAACCTTACAGTAATTAATTTTTTTTGTGAGACTTTAATGTAATTATTTCAATAATTTAACAATTATGAGTGGGCATGCAGGAGGTCTTGACTCTTTCTTGTAAAATCCATGAATCCTAGGTTTAGGCGTAATTAATTATAGATGATTTAAATAAAAAAAAAGAAATATAATTTAAAAGGAAATGGGTATGTAAGCTTTTTTTCGGATAATTACTTTTAAATAATCATTCGCTTATAGATGATTTAAATAAAAAAAAAAGAAATATAATTAAAAGGAAATGGGTAGATTAGCTTTTTTCGGATGATTACGTTTAAATAATCATTCGCGTAAATGAGTTTGAGTGTAGTGTAAAATGAAATATTCTTAAGTAAATTAGGTACACCATATCATTGTGATGTGGCTAATTAAATGTCTCAGTAAATAAAATCTTATATAATATTATTTATTGAATTTATTCTAAGGATTAAAATGCCCCTAATCATTTAAATAAAATCTTATGTGATATTATTTTAATTAATTTTATTCTTATAATAAAATACATATTTAATTTCTTACACTTTTTTTCTCTACCATCATTAATATAAGAACAAATTTATATTTAATGCCACTTGAATATCACATTTTTATTAAGATTACAAATAATGCAACGCACCCAATTTGTTTAAGAATTTCTCAGTGTGAATGTCAACTTCTAGAGCCTAAAATGAGCTTGCTCCTTAACTTCATGTGGCAAAATAGATACTCTAAATTTATGTTTTAGAAGTGATACTCAACATCAAGATTTCAGAGAAAAAATAACTCACTAAGCCCCAACCTTATTGACTATATTTAAGTATGGATTTGGATTTGTATTTTAGAAGTGATACTCATCATTAAGATTTCAGATAAAAAATAACTCACTAAACCCCAACCCTAATGACTATATTTAAGTATGAATTTGGATTTGGACAAAATTTAAATCCATAAATTCTCATGAATCCAAATAATAAATTTAGCTCAAATCCAAATCATAATCCCAATTCATATGCATTCAAACATAACATTAACTTCTTGAAAAGTCAAGTCTCACATTTCCTTATACTTGGAAAAGTAATTTACTAAGCATAGTCCTAGTAAATTTTACCCCCATGATATTTATCCTATATTTGAAATTTATCCTTCAAACTTATAAAATAAATTTCAATTAAAATGATATTTCAGTCTTTAACATTAAAACATAATATATTTATTCAAAAATAGTCAAATTTTTAGAAATTTATACAAGAGAAGCAATCAATTAAACACCTCTAGAAAAGTTGATTTCTTGAAAGTAATATGCTTTATGAAAAATTAACTTTTATTTATTGTAGTATTAAAAATCCAAGTTACTAAATTCTCGACCAAGTAAATTAGTAAGCTGATGACCCAATTCTTGACTAGATCAAAATTTTACTCAAACCATGCTAACATGGTGCAACCTATCATGGTTATATTGAATGGGTCAAGAGAGTTGGCACTTATGCTATTTTTTTTCCCTCATAAACTAAACTATGAAATGACATTGTTTTGGTTGAGTTAATAACCTTTTTCTATGGTTTTGCAATGATATTTTGTGATAAATTTGTGAAAATATGCGGAAACATGAAATTACAAGGCATAGCATTTAAAAGGACAAAAAAGTAAAAACAAGCATTTACAGTAATCACTATACTTCTTCACTATGGCTAACTACTGTGTGACATGCTCGCCACGACGAATTACCCACTAGCTGTGGCTAGCTCCTAAGTGCTAACTCACCATGGCACAAGACGTCCTCACTGTTGTCAACTCACATTTACTCACTCATCATCACCAAACTCACCATTCGTTACGGTGAACCCTACATGAAAATACAAAAGATAACAAGCTTAGCTTTAGACCTTCCTAACTAATCGCTCAAACCTCCATTTAAGATGATCCAATCATTCTCGTGCTATTAATAAAACAACCTAACAATGGTACCATAACAATTCAACCCAGCACTAATTGAGGATCCTAGGACACCAAGGGACAATTTAGGTCTTTAAACTCTTTGCTCAAATACAAGTATCTCCCCTCATCTATCAAGCCAAGTCTTGCTATTTCAATCATGCATCAATACACAAATTATGCTTAAAGATTCAAAACATGAAATTCCTTACATTTGCACAAGGTTAACTAATTAATCATGAAAAACTAAGCATTCATATAGTCAGTCTCTCAACTAAAATATAAGATTAACAACCAACAAAATTGCCCAAGTTAACAATTGGGCTTATAAGCAATTTGAATTATAAATCCTCCCTTAAGGAGTATGCGCAACATGTCATAGAATTGGTAAAATAACATTTCATTACACAAAAGTTAACTGAAGACTTTACAAGTATATCTCTAGTTCTTTAGCATCAATGCCTCTCCCTCTCCTTTTGCCTTATTATCTCCTAGAAAAAACATTAAATAACGTGAGTGGGGTTAAACAATCTCATTAATCAAGAAACTTAAAGAAAGCATATTAAAGTATGACAGCTACATAATAAAGCCAATAATAACATAACAACCAAATCATCACATAAACTCAATTTCACATATATAAATGCTAATGAATAATGCAACCACCTGTCTTGAGAGCTCTCTCTCTCGCCTTGAAAGCTTCCTTTTTCAACTTTGAGATTCCATTATTATTACTCGGTCATATTCTAGTACCTCTTCTTTGTTAATTTTCTTTTAGCACAATTTTGTTGTTGCTGATTTTCTCCCTGCGAGTGGATTTCTCAAGTTTTTCAAGTGTGTGAAGGGAGTGCACAAGTTAGTCATGGAAATCGATAGTGAATCTGTGAGAAATAATAGTGAGTTTAGTAATTTGACTATCAAATGGCAAAAGTTAGATTTTGGGGAAGGAGAATGTAAAACTTTAATGGGTAAAGTATTCTCGCTAGCTCCAATCCTAAAAGTCTCGGTAGATAGAATGACTAAAGTTGCTTGGAGAGTTTTTGGTAAGATAGAGATGCAAGATGGCATTGATAATCACTTCACTTTCTCTTTTGAAAACAAGGATGAAATGTTAAGGATATTAGAGGAAGGACCTTGGCTTGTAAGAGGACATATGCTCTCCCTGTTGAAGCATCCTCCTTTCTCAATTAAGTGAATTAAAAGTTACTACTTGTGACTTTTGGGTTCAATTCCATAATTTGCTTGAGGAAGGTTTAGCTGTTGAGAATATTTTTCTTCAGATTTAAGAATTATGTTAGTTTTAGCTATTGAAGATCCTTTAAAAGGGATAGACTTGTTAAATTTTTAGTAGCACGAAGGTGGCTGTGAATCCCCTGAATCCACCTATAACAGTTCTTTAGGTCCAGCATCTAAATTTTCCTCCTACAAAGATCTTAGTTAAGTACGAAAGGCCACAAAATTTTGTTTTTATTGTGGAAGATTGGGTCATGACTTAAAAAGCTGTAGTCTAAATGATCAATAGGATGCTAGCCGAGAGTTTCCTAGAATTTTTAATTCTAGTATATGTGCAAATTTCTCCAAAGCTATCGAAAAAATTATCTGGATTAAGGGAGGTGTGTTTTCGATAACTTATGTAGAGAATGATGAAGAGACATCTCTTAACATTAATGAACAAAGTGATGAAGGGTGTGGGGATCAAGTTTTGCATGGGGAAGAGCCAAACAATAATTTGCATGGAGAAAATATGAGAAATATTTATATGTTAGAGGAAAGAGTTAATGTTTGTGTTTTCGAGGTTGAAGAAAATGGCTTATAGTTTAATGCCATAAATAGTGAACAATTAAATATGGTGGCTGATGAGAAGATGGTTGACTACTCTTTCTATGTGGGTCCTAGTTCTCCTAATGTGTTTCACGTGCAAATAGAAAATGGAGTTAGGGAGAATAATAATACTAGGCCTAATACCAATTCTTTTCAAGTGGAAGAACTGATAGGGCTTGATATTACTTTTAGATCCATGATTAGAATATATGGGAATGAATGGAGACGAGTGGGCCCTAATGTAACTGGTGTTAGAATAATTAGAAAAGGCCCATATATAGTTGAATTTTTAGATGACAATATTTCCCAATTAGAGGAT